AGGGGTTAGATTTCCTAATGTTGGGCCTGGGGCCTTGAGGTCCTTCAAAATGAAAAAAAAAATTTTCTTTCTTTCTTTCCTCCTTCCTTCCTTCCATCCTTCCTTCCTTCCTTCCTCCCTCCCTCCCTCCCTTCCTTCCTTCCTTCCTTTGTTTCATGAGAGATTGAACCCAGGGACATTTTACCACTGAGAAACTTCCCTAGCGCGCGCACACACACACACACACACTTTTTAAAAATTTTAAGCAGCATCTTACTAGTGTTGGTAAAGATGGCGCCCGGAGTGCTTCTCTTCTGGGACCTCAAGAGTATTGGTAAAGATGGTGCCTGGAACACTTCTCTTCTGGGAGCTCAGGTCCATGACACACTGAATGGCGCGTGAACCGTCACCTCCAATCCCTGTGAATGGCGGGAACTTTGAATGGCGCACCTCCAATCCCTGAAGTGGCAAGAACTCTCGGCCAATGAAGAAGTAACAGCCCACTCGCCTTGCTCCTCCTCATCCTGTGTTAAGCCCATAAATATCAATACCCTGTTCATGTTTGTTCTCTTACTCTTAGTCTTACTCCCTCTCCTCCCTTTCCTCTCTCCCCCCTCTCCCCCTCTCCTCTCTCTCTTCCCCCTCTCCTCTCTTTCTCCCCCCTCTTTCTTCTCTCTCTCTCTCTCTCCCTCCCCCCTTCTCTTCTGCGACTGGCCGCTGTGGTCCTGCTAATAAAATCTCGGACAGGTAAACAGTTGTTTTGGCTTGTTGAGTTTACGGAGCTTTTCCATTGTCCTTTACAACTAGGTTGCTGAGGTTGGCTTTGAACTTGGGATTCTCCTGCCTCAACCTCCCAAGTTGCTATGTTGCCGAAAGCTCGGTCCTTGTCCCCAGTACCAATCCAATAGCAAGGACACCATTTTGAGGAAAAAGGAAAAAGAAAGTTTATTACTTTGCTAGCAAAGGAGAAACATAGGAGTCTCCTGTCCCAAAGGCTCTGATTCTGCCCATTAGTGGGAACAGGGAGCTTTTACAGAGGTGATTCAGAGACAATGAGATCAGGGAGGAAAAGATTAGGAAGAAAAAAAAAACATATGTAAGTTTCAAAGCCACAAGGGATATAGTTGAAGCATCAAGTGAACCCCTGTTATAGTTGGGATTACAGGTCTGTGCGATGGCAATCAGCAAAATTGAGAAATTGAAAAAAGTTTTTTTTTTTTGTTGTTAGAGGTCTCAGCTTGAAAATGTCAGATCACAGCCACAGATACCGGCTCTTCCAACCATCAGTCCATGCTGTTCATAGCTAAGACGTTGCATACAACCACCTTGGCTCCCCTTCTTGGCTCACCCAGGAACACAGACTCAAGCTATCCCTGCATGTCAGCTGCTCTCTGGCCCATCTCAGCACCACTGAAGCCTGATGGGATTGAGGCAGCTGGGGGAAAACTGAACAAAATATTTAAAGATAAAATTTTAAAAGTACAGGGCTGAGGGTGTGATTCAGTGGTAAAACATTTGCCTAGCTTGCAAAAAACCCTAGGTTTGATCCCCAGCACTGAGGAAAAAATAATTTTTAGGTATATCAAAAAGAGAAAAAGATAAAAAATAGTAGGAAAAAAAGAAGTTTATGAAGTTCAGCCACCAAATAATAGATTTTCAGGAAGAGAAAAATAGGTTAAGAAATCCACAATGAAAGTATTAAAGAAAAATTTCCAGAAGTAAAGAATATAAATTGCCAAATTGAAAGTACTATCACAATAGATTAAAATTGTCCTCTACCAAAGCATATGTTTGTGCAATTTAAATCATCTAGGACAAAGAGGAGATTCTTCTACTTTAAGAAAGGAAGGTCTGATGCCATCAAAAGCCTACCAACCCGGGCTGGGGATGTGGCTCAAGCGGTAGCGCGCTTGCCTGGCGTGCGTGCGGCCCGGGTTCGATCCTCAGCACCACATACAAACAAAGATGTTGTGTACGCCGAAACTAAAAAAATAAATATTAAAATTCTCTCTCTCTTTAAAAAAAAAAAGCCTACCAACCAAGAAAAGCCCAGGACCAGATGGATTCTCAGCCAAGTTCTACAAGACCTTCAAAGAAGAATTAACACCAATACTTCTCAAAGTATTCAATGAAATAGAAAAGGAGGGAACCCTGCCAAACTCATTCTATGAGGCTAGTATAACCCTGATACAAAAATCAGACAAAGACACACTGAGAAACAAAAATTTCAGACCAATATTTGTGATGAACATAGATGCAAAAATTCTCAATAAAATTCTGGCAATTTGCAGGGCTGAGGATACAGTTCAGTTGGTAAAGTGCTTGTCTTGAATGCACAAGGTCCTGGGTTCAATCCCTAGCACCAAAAAGAAAAATTTCTGGCAAGTTGCATACAAAAACATTAAAGAGATAGTGCACCAAGATCAATTGGGGTTTATTCCAGGAATGCAAGGTTGGTTCAACATATGGAAATCAGTAATTCATCACATCAATAGGCTTAAAGATAGGAATCAGATGATTATCTCAATAAATGCAGAAAAATATTTGACAAAATACAACACCCCTTCATTTTCAAAACACTAGAAAAACTAGGGATAATTGGAATCTATCTCAACATTGTGAAAGCTATCTATACTAAACCCCAGGACAACATTATTCTAAATGGAGAAAAAATTGAAAATATTCTCTCTAAAAATTGGAACAAAGCAGGGATGCCCTCTTTCACCACTTCTATTCAACATAGTTCTTGAAAATCTAGCAAGAGCAATCAGACAGACAAAAGAAATTAAAGGAATATGAGTAAAAAAAAGAACTCAAACTATCACTATTTGCTGATGACATGATTCTATATTTAGAAGATCCAAAAAATTCCATTAGAAAACTTCTAAAACTAATAAATGATTTCAGCAAAGTAGTAGAATATAGAATCAATACCCATATATCAAATGTACTTCTATACATAAGCAATGACTCACTGTAAGAGAAATTAGGAAAACTAATTTCCCAATAGCCTTAAAAAAATAAAATTGGGGGAATCAATTTAACAAAAGAGGTAAAAGACCTGTACAATGAAAACTACAGAACACTAAAGAAAGAAATTGAAGAAGACCTTAGAAGATGGAAAGATCTCCAATACTCTTGGATAGGCAGAATTAATATTGTCAAAATGGCCATACTACCAAGTCTGTTATACAGATTTAATGCAATTCCTATTAAAATCCCAATGACGCTGGATGATGCTCAAGCGGTAGCCTGCTCACCTGGCACCCGTGCGGCCCAGGTTCCATCCTCAGCACCACATACAAAGATGTTGTGTCCACCAAAAACTAAAAAAAATAAACATTAAAAAAAATCTCTCTCTCTCTCTCTCACTCTCTGTTTAAAAAAAAAAAAAAAATCCCGATGACATTCTTTACAGAACTGGAAAAAGCAATGATGAAATTCATTTGGAAAAATAAGAGACCCAGAATAGCCAATGTAATCTGTAGCAAAAAGAGTGAAGCAGGAAGTAATACCTGACCTTAAACTATACTACAGAACAATAGTAAAAAGAATGGCATAGAATTGACAGAAAGGAAGATCTGAGAGGAAGGGAGGAGCAAAAAACAAAAAAGAGGAACAGAAATTACAATTGCTTTGCATTCTCAATAACAACACAGGAAGCTAGAAGACAGTATGTCAATGCTTTTAAAATAGCAAAGGAAATCATTCCAGCAGAGAACTCTCTGTTCAGCCAATTACCAAACAAATGCTGGAGAATTGAGATGTTGTTCAATTGTACAGCACTTGCTTAATATGCACAAGACATGGGTTTGATCCCCAGCATGGCAAAATAAATAAATAAAATACAAGTATTGCCAGGCATGGTGGCACATGCTATAATCCCAGTACTCAGGAAGCTGAGGCAGGGGGATTGCAAGTCCCAGTCCAGCCCAGGTAACAACCCTGTCTCAAAGAAACACAAAAAATAAACACAAGTGTTGGTGGAGACAAAGACTTGCAAAGAGTTCAGAAAAGAAAATGATTTCCATATACCTTTCCTAAAGAAACTACTCCCAGAGGACATACCAAAATGAGAATAGCTAAAAAAGGAAGAGAACTGGTCCCGGTGATTTAGGAATCAGGAAAAAGGATCACTGGTTCTAGGCTAGCCTGGGCAATTTAGTGATGCTGTCCCAAAATAAAAATTTTTTTTTTTTTTTTAGGTTTCTAAAAGTAGTGAGTTTTATTTCAAAGCATCACATTAAATTTGAATCTCAGTCAACAAAGCCATATCTTCTTATATGTTGATTTTTGCAAAGAGTACAGACTTGCAAACAACAGATATGATAAAGTATTTTAACGTAAAAGGTGTTTGTTTTTTGTAGAAATAAAGTAGTACAGAACTAGCATACAATGTGAATATCTTCTTGGTAAGTGATTTAGGCCATGATTCTCATCTTTTAAAGTTGTCAAAAATATTTTAAATGTTGCTCTGCTTATTTGATACTTGTACTTTTTGATAGAACCATAGGAAAAATCTCTCTACTTAGATTAATGTACTCACACACTATATGCCTAAATTTAAACATAAAAGTTATATATCAAGAGATAGTGACATTCATTATTAAAAAGTTTTGTTAAAGGGAGAAAAATCTCTAAAATTTTTTATCAAAACCCCAAACAATCAAATCTTGGGCAATAAGTACCAACATATTTTATAAGAGTTAATGAAGTATCTAAGCTCTTTGTAAGAGGATGCCATTTTAAATTTATTTGTCATCCCTCTTCCATGACAAACACATAAACATTTCACTGAAGCAAGCAACTTAGAAATGTGGTTCCATAACTGTGTAGTTAAAGAAGGAACTTGCCAATTAAAAGCATTTATTATTTTCTTGTTTGGCTTTGATTTTGTGGGAAGTCACCTATTCTGATCCCCTAATATGCAATGAAAGTCTACATTTATAAGCTTGGAAAACTTGTGGTTCAGTACATAGAAGTTTCTTCTACAAAATAATGGGAATGTTTTGAATGCCAGGAAATTACAATGTTTAACATATCACAAACATTACCTGTAAGAACTTTGAATCACAATAAAATCACATTAAAAAGGTACACATTCTTGTTCACCAAAATTAATGAGGCAATTTGGGAACAAGAGACAGATTCTCTCAATGTTAACCTTTAGATATTCTTAACCTGCAATAAAAAATAGTTTAAAAAGAAGTGTGTTTTCTGTAAAAATCAGTGAAGTACATAAATGCCTTGGCACAATACAATATTATCCTACGATACCTACTTCAAAATGTATGTTCATCTCCCATTCTCCTCACCATCATTTTCACATTTTAATTATGCTTTCCTTTTGATTGTTTGCATGCAAGAACACCAACTAAACTATTTATTTCAACATTAAGCCTGTTTCTTTTGAAGCCAAGATTTTTTTTTTTTTTATTTAACAAACGCAATGGAGACTCATTTTTCAAGATGCTTAAGGCAGAATGCTTAAGGTTCATGCTTGCTGCTTTGCCTGGGCTTCTGCTTCCTTTGAACCAGGTGGTGCTGTCAAGCCTAAAAAGGCATAGACTGCATTATTTTCTCGAGCTTCAAAGAAGGCATCATAGTCCCCACGGTACTGGCTTTCATTGAAAATCTGAGGTGGCAGGGGGTATCCTGTGGCTGGTCGACTATTTTCAGGTACATTTTCTCTGATCCACTTCCGATTCTCTTCATTGGCTGCAATATCTTTTTCTTCAAATCCTATTTTGTTGGCTTCTAAGAAACCAAGCACATCTTGCTGTTTCTTCTTAATCGCCGTAGAGCCAGAAGAAGATGCAATGTATACACGAATCACCATCCTGGGAACAGCGGCTGGCGGTTGTTTGGGTCCTGGAATGAGCCACGGAGCAGCTGCAGCAAAGGCCCCAAAATAAAATTTTTTAAGGGATGTAGAAAAAATGGGGGGCTTTAGATGTAGCTTGGTGGTGATATAGCCCTGGGGTGGTGATATAGCCCTGCCAAAAATATTAAGATAAAAAGAGGAAAGTGAATTTAGGAGACCAAAGAATTTAGGCAAAAGAAATATCCAACATAGTAGTGAATGAATGTCAATAATAGGATGAGACCAGGTAACAAGCATAGAAGGCAACTGGTTCAGATTGAAAAAACTCAAAATCCAGATTTATTGGAGCTGGATCTGGTGGCACATGCCTGTAATACTAGAGACTCAGGAGGCTAAGGCAGGAAATTACAAGTTCAAGGCCAGCCTCAGCAACCCAGTGAAGCCCTGTCTCACAAAAAAAAAAAAAAATTAAAGAGTTGGGGATGTAGTTCAGTGTAAGTGCCTACTGGTTTCAATCTTCAGTACCAAAAGAAAAAGACAGATGTACTCTTCTTATGGGCCAGGCTATATGCGCAATGACCAAACAGACTCCATTTTACCCTAAGACTCCATGTCATGTAAGAAATGTTTCTCCCATGAAAAAACCCTGCCTCTGTACCTACCA